TTATTCAAAGAATTTTATAAATTTCAGATTTAAAGAATATCTATCCAGTTCGCTGAAAATGCCTGGAGTGCACATGCATACGTGTGACCATGGCTGATTGGCCGAGAAGGTGCTGGTGGGAAAAGGAGGAAGGGTGGGACTCTAGGGTTCAAAAGAAGTGACGGCCACAAGGTCGGAAGTGGCTTGGCTTCAGTCTTCGCACAAAGCGACTAAATTGTGGTCTTGACACTGGTGGTCACAATCATGTTGAGGACACAAAGCTGCTTGGAGCAGCAGGAGTGACCTCTAGGATGGCAGCCAAATCCTTAGTTTTGAAAGTTATTAATCTTTACATGAAATTCCTAGTCAGTGGCAGGGGGAGTATTAGTATTATTTAATTTCATTCAAATTATACTACAAAAAAACAATTAAGGTGAATAATTATGAAACGAAGGTCAACTCAATTTTCTATAATAATGTTTTTTGTTACCAGGCTCATTATTACTAATTCCTTTCATAATCTTTGCCATCTAACCTCATTTGTTTCATTTATAAGTGGCAAGAAATGCACATCATAAAGCAGCAATGAAATCAAGACAGCAGCATGTCACTTTGGTAATCTCAGGAGAAAGTAATTATTGTCTCTGGTTAACCTTTTAGGGAGAAGCTCATCTGCATATTCTCAATGTAGGTGTTACATTTGTCAAAGTGAAATTTTCCTTTTCTGATGGTTTAGCTGTGTGGCCTAGCTGGAGAGGGTAGAGACCAGCATAAAGTTGAGGTTTTATCCTATGGTCCTGAATACTTATAAGCCAAATGAAAAAGCACTCAAGCAGATTTTAAATGGGCTTTTAGTGGAAACCAACACACACACACACACACACACACACACACACTCATTTTAAACATTCAAAATCATCTTTCTTATCCAGCTTTAAAAAGAAAAGATTGTTCATGTCAATTGCCAACACACTCATATTTGAAAGCCTCAGGATTTAATTTGCTGCAATTTTAGCACTTTGACCTTATACTGTTTAGGTTTATGAAGAATTCCAAAAATATTACTACTAAGACATGCCCTGCCTTCAAACCCTTACGTCTTAGGCATAGAAATTCTGCTTCTAGAAACTCACTGTAATGCAGAGCGGGTAAACTTTCTGGTGATTAGCACCCCTACCCTACGGGTGTTTAGGTACCATCAATAACACCCTTTTGCTGCTCACTAAAGAAACATTCAAAAGCACATGAATGTAGCCCTGTGCTCCTAGGCCCTACACCATGGTACTTTAGTAAATATACAAACAAAAGCAGGATTGTAGTAAGTATTTTCAAAACCATGGGCAGGGTGGAGGAATAGGGCAAACTAAAAAGATCCTAGCGACAGTAACAGAGCCCGGGCCATGGCACTGCCTGCACCTTGAGGGTCAGGTTCCTTACATACACAGAGATCGCTGCATTTAACACCTGCTCCCCTCTTCACAGGGCTTTCTCTCAGGATGAACCTGATGCTTAGCCCATGGGGGCAGAGGCCAGGTGTGCCACGTAATCAGTGTCTGCAGGAGGGACCCTCAGATCTGCAAAGGACAAGAGTTGCTGGGCAACCGTCTGGCTCCCCAGGCAGGATTAAGTCTCAGGTTCGTGTAGTGATGAATTTCTCATTAGTAGTACTTTGACCTGACAGTGTTAAATATTACCTCTTTACTATCTTCTGATCCCTACTCCTTTGACTCTGGGATGGCTACCAAATGGGTTACCCAAATCTGCCTTTGGGGAACCTATGCTACGGTCGGGAAAAAATAATTTTAATCTGTTTTATGAAAGGAGGGGAGAGTCTCCCCTGCGAGCACCTAAGGGGAAAGTATTTCATGGAAGCAAAGACAACAGCATGGCACACAGCCCTGAGGACAGCAGCTGTTGTTGCCAGGAGAGTCTGGATGGAGCCATTGTGACAGACGCCCAGATTCCCACTGAGCAGTGCATCATGAGACTGAGACCAAGGCAAGGACCAGCTCAAGATTAACTGGCCAGCCTCTGTCAGGAGTGAGAGTCACGTCCTAACTGTACCTCCATTTCACAAATGAGGAACTCAAGGTTAGGGAGGCTATGGTACAAAGTGGCTAGGACATACGGAATGAGACTCTAAAAACAGGACCATTTGATTACCAACTCCAAATTTTCAATCACTCTTCTACCAAACCTAATACTTGGCTTAAACCTATTTTTCCCTCCAGATTTACACTAGGCTGGCTATTCTTTTCCTTTTTGCATCTTACTGACAAAGGTCTCTGCTTAGTCTGCAGCCAATAGGACAGATAATAAACTCTATTTCCCACAGTACTGGAAGACTAGAGCACCTACACTCCTGGCCAATTTCTGGTACACCAGTTTGTGAACATCAAGATATATGTCCTCCATAAATTTCCAGAGACATATTAACGTTCACCTCCATAATGCCTTAATTGTACAGAAACCATTAGACAAGAGTGTTAAGGTGACAAAGAAACCCATGCAAATGGTAAAGAAAGAGAGAGAGATGCCTAAATTAAAAGGGGTGAAGGGTCCAGAGCAGCCTTTCATGGAGAAAAAGATTCATGGCGATGTTCTGTCTTCCCAAGAATGGACTGCCTCATAAATTATCTCAACATGATGCCAGCAAGTCAAGGGGAACTTTTTTAAAGTAGGATTTTGCGAAAGGTTAAATTAAAATGAAGGTTGAACAATTATTTTTGTCCTCCTGCCTAGAGGGGCTTCTGCTAATGTTTGTGTACAGAAGTGTTAATGGCAGGATACTTCAAAGCCTTTCCAGGGACAATCATGCCATTGGTGAGAAAGGATTTGATTTTGTAAAAAAGCGTACATTGTAAATGATATTGAAAAATAAAAAGACAAGATTGCATGAGCTAAGTGCCTTATTTTTGTTACTGCTGGTGGGGTTCCACAGATCCTCATTGTGCCCGTAATTGGGGTTTTTAAAGTAGAAATGGAGAAGTGTGTGTTTTCCTTTGTCTGTGAAGGTAGCATTTCTGACCCATCAGTGGAGGGCCACACACTGGAAATTTTGCTTCTGAGAAAGAAAAGACATTAACTCTTGGCCAGCATTTGATCAACGTGTTCAGTTTGCCCTCCTGTTTTCCTTGATCCAGTCCCCTTAGATACTACACTTAACATCACAGGAAGGAGGAAGTTGAGCAAAGTCAGAAAAACTAACAAACTCTACTCCAGCAGGCACCGAGCACCATATGAGCAGAGAGCAGAGCATCTACAATTCAAAATCCAAAATCTGAAATGCTCCAAAATCCAAACCATTTTACGCACCAGAAGAACACCATGAATGGAAAATCTCATGCCATGAAACCTCATTTTAAGCACAAAATTATGGAAAATATTGCCTAAAATTAATTTCAAGCTTTATGTATACATGAAACATAAGGGATATTTGTATTTGAATCCACCTCCCATCCCCAAGATACCTCATTATGTATATGCAATTATTTCAAAGTCCAAAATCCAAACAGTCTGGTTCTAATCCTGTCAGATGAGAGATATTCAACCTGCATGTCCCACTGACTTCTAGCCTTCAATACCTGGCCATCGACCGAGGCACATTTGCTGCGAGCAATATGAAACTGCAATGTAATTTGAAATAAGAAAAGTGATTTTTCTCATACAACCAGAAACTAGACATGGGGGTCACTGCTGTTATTATTAATTTTCTCAATGAAATAATCCATGAAATCATGTTTTTTCAGCATTTCTCTCCTCTGGGCTCAGTCTGAGTTAGGTCTCCCTTTGAGATCTCCGAACTGCATTTTTTTGTGAACGGGAAAGCTCTCCTGGGAGCTTCCTAGGGATTTCACTTTACATTTCATTGCCTAAAATGCTGCTTGTGTTTGCTCCTTGATCCATAGCAGAAGGAATGGGGAATGACTCAGACGAGGCAGACCTGCCCATAGGTTTGGAGACACAGCAGCCTTTCTCAGTTACTAAGGCCCTGACACCGGGGAATAGCGGACCCAAAGTCCATGGCTGCACTGGGAAGAAGAAATGGAAAACTGAGAAGACGTGGGTAATAGCAGTCTCTGCTAAAATGAAACTTTTCAAAACTGTGTATGGAGAACACGTTGAGTAAACAGTCTCTTTTGTGTCATTTATTATGTTCTTTCTCAAGGGGGTTGATTTTTTTAAATTTTTATTTGCTTCTAGTGACTACCTGCTGCCTCTACCTTGCTAGCATTCATCCTTTCTTTTTCTTTTTTTTTTTTTTTTTTTTTTCTTGTTCATTAAAAAGCCCACAGACTCGGTCAGTCCATGTGTTTCACGGGTGCTGACCTCCTCCCTGCTAGAGAGAGGCAGGCGTCCCAGACCAGACCATCAGTGTTCCCCAGCCCTCCTGCAGAAAGGCTGAGCCAATGAGACTTGAGAGTTAATTCAAAGGATCTGTGGCACAGTTTAATACATCTTCCTGCCAGAATCACTAGGTGTTAAGACTTGCAGCCATGTAATCCTGGACAGTATTTGTGTTGGGCACAAAAACTGTGGAAAGAATGAATTTCAAAGGCGCTATTTAGACTCTTGCCCAGGCATGCCTGGATGAGCTAAACGTGCTCTTAACTGTGAACTTTTTGGCCCCATAACCTGGTGAAAGAAGGCCGTATTCTTTCTTTTCCCTTAGGTTAGTTTGAAAGAATTTTTGTCACTTGCGAGTAAAGATTCCCATCTATTTTCTATCTATTATATCTATTATGCTGTGAGTGTTCTAAGAACTGGGCCTCTGACATATTCATCTTGTCATTTCCATCGTCCCCAGCACCTGGCAAAATGTTTCCCAGCCTTTCTGTTATAGGAGAACCCCTTTCGTGTAATAGTGGTGTTGCTGTAAATTTCTGTTGAGTGAGAAAATAGATCACAAGTGCTGCCCTGAAACTAAGGATACTTTGTGTTAAGTGAATTTGTATTTTATGACTCACAAGTGCCTCTGTCTTCATTTTAAATCAGTCATATATAATGTGCAAACGTATTACCTGTTTATCTAAGACAGATTTTGGTCTTCACGTGGATTTGTGGTGTCTGAATTTAATAACCGCCAGGAGAATCCGGGGACCACAGCCTGAGATGCTGGAACAAAAAGGTGGGAAATGGAGATACAAGGGATGCATAACGACTGACCTCTTGAAATATCCCTTTCAAATGACGGACTTGTGTAAGAAATATCATTCCAGGAGGATATTAAGTCTCCGTGTCTAGAGATGGCTGTTACAGGAACTTCTAAAGCTGGACCCTGGACAGAGTACGCACTCGCAACTTCATTTTCATTCCCACCAGCGGCATGGGACATCCATTTCCGTCCTTTGCCCTCTCTGTAGATGCAGATCTGTGACTCATTAGCGGTTCCCATAGATCCTTGCATTTGTGGCTCCCGGTATGTACGAAATGTGGGGTTGCCTGCATATCATCCATTTTCCTCATCTTTTCTAACATGAAAGAGTAATGTGAGAGGCCAGAAAGATTAGTGCCAGACTCTACTGAAGCCAGACATGATCATTTGACCCGTTCTGTCCAATCAAATGCATTTTAAAATCTGCTGGTTGAGGAATTCTTGGAAGCCCTACAAAATTGTTCTCTACAAAAGGGGAACCAGTAGGCATGGTGGAGCCACGCCTATCATCCCAGCACTTGGGGGGCTGAGGCAGGAAACTTGCTGCAAGTGCAAGGCCAGCCTGTGCTACCTAGTGAGTTCAAGGCCAGCCCAAACTACACAGCAAAACCCTGTATCAAAAGGCCAAAAGGGAAAAGAACCATTAGACATACAATTTTTACCAACTGTCCCTTCTGTCTTTGCTTCCCTGGATTATGAACATGGTGTCTAGAACTGGAGCCGCCATTTTGCTAAAAGCCTGTGGAGAGAAGCGACACGTGGCTAGGACACTAGAAACGATCAGATCCTCGATGAAATAAGAAAGCCTGGTATGATGGAATAAAAGCCAGCGGCAAATCACACCTCCGGGACCTGGAATTGAAAACAACTACTTAGCAAAGAGAAAGGAAAGAGGAGCTCTGTAAATCAAGAAACAGCCAAGAAGAAATCTAAAAATCATGGAGAAACAGAAGACAACAGAGACAAAAACAAAGCGGTCTGGAACGCTAATCCCAGCTCTTGGATCTTACTTGATTCCACAAGCACAAGGTAAGCCCAGAGGGGGCAGGCAGCCCCGGTGATAGACAGACAGGCAGTGCTAGCCCGAAGAAAAGCCCTCAGTTAGTGTAAGCTGTAATACAGACTGAGGCGTTACCCTTGAGAGCGACTCCCTCCGCATAGCAGACTGGCTTTGGAGAAGAAATCCACTGCTGCAGCTGCCATGTTAATTAGGAGGCAGTTTGAGAAAGGTCTTATTATTTAAGACTGATCTACTCCAGAAATCAGAACTCACAGGGCACCCACCCTTCAGAGTCTTTGGGGTCCCCCTCACCACAGGGACTGCAGGACATGACCTCAGCAAACAGTCATGGAGAAGTGGAGGGCCAGTCACAGATCCCTTGAGAAGTTTAATCAACTCAGGAGGCAGAGAATAGGATGGTTCCTCCCATGGTGGTGAAAAGCCAGAATGGTGGCATGTGGTTTTCTGAGGGGGCTGGGTCTGAATGCTGGGACCGAGTCCAGTGGACTGTTTGGACCCCTCCTCACCCACTTCTAGCATAGAACTTCGTGGTCTGTTTGCTTTCCCCACCCACTGGTGTGATGAGGGATGCACCTCTGTTGCACATTTGCCATGTCTACGGGTGTGCCGATGTTTTTCCCAATCTTTATTAAATTTATTGGTACATTTTAGGTATACAATACAGTTACATTCATCATTGGGATCTTTCACCTTTACATGACAGATCTTGGTCCTTATTTTTCCCCATTCCCCAGCCCTTCCTTCACCCCTGCCCTTTTCCTGTTTACAAAGACATTGTTTCCATGTTTTTCCTTTTCACATATTTTTCTTTTCCCTTCTTATCTTCCCCTACCCCTCCCACTTCCTCTACTCTATTAGACTTTTCTTCCTAGTATACAATATCAATTATACATTTTGATCCTTATTTACACTTTTACTTTTTCACACCAGAGAAGCTATTTGGTATTTACACATTACTATTAATGTGTAATTAATTATTATTAATTTCACTTGAGTATTGCCTCAATGTGCATCCACTTAGCTATAAATCTCTCTAGTTTCTCACTCTTTGTGGCTGAGTAGTATTCCATTTTATTTTTAAAAAACACACACCTTCTTTATCGAGTTGATGGGCAATTGGGCTGTTTTGGGTGTGCAGATTGAGTGGTACCCGGAGCAAGCAGTATACCTCATCAGCCCATGGGCCACAAAGCTTTTTAGGGATAGCAGAGGCTTAGTGGTGCACAGAATGCTGCAAACACACACTGAAAGCCTCTGGTACGAATACAGCCTTAAAGCAGAAAGCCAAGGCAGGACTCAGTATTCACACAGCGAAGAAGGGGTGTGGAGACACAGCAGGCCTCACCTGTTACTCACTCTCCTGCCCCCATTTACGGCAGATTCCAAAGGGACAGTTCCTGAAAAGCAGCTACCTACACAAGCACCTCTACATGGAGGACATTTTTGCTTCTTTCTTTGTTTTCTGCTGTTGTTATTTTTCTCATTTGTTCTTTTTTCTTCCTTTTTTGTTTCTTTGTTCTTTCTGTTACTTTTACCCAGTATATTAAATTTTGAAAAACTATTTCATTGGATCTTATCTCATCTTGCTCTCCTTTTTCGTCTTCTCTTTCTTTTTGAGGCTTTATTGCTTCCAATTTTCCCTTTCCCTGCCACCTCCATTTTTTATTGTGTTAACCATTATTGATATTAATCTTTTCAGGTTACTCCATGTTAGTATTGCTAATTTTATTTTATATTTTCAATCGTGGTATTATTGCTGCTCTTAGTGGGTCTTTCCTTATGTCAATAATCAGTTTGTTTTGAGTTTATATTATTGTTGCTGATTTCTTTTCTATTTTTATTGGTGGCATAGTTGCTGCTTTTAACTGATTTTTACTCTAACTAAATACTCGATGTTGTTGACATTACTGTAGTTTGTTTTCTTCTTTCTGAATGGTGCTGGGGATCGAGGTCTCAGCAGAAGCCTGGACACTAAGGAGATCTTGAAATAAAAGTGAAGAAATATCTATCGCAAAAGATGAAAAATATCTCAACATATAAACACAAGAAGTGTGAAAAAAACAAGGCAATGTTAAAATTCCCATCATTTGTCAGTAAAGGAATGCAGATATTGAAGTAAATAAAGTTCCAGACAAACAATTTAAAAGCCTGATGTATAAAATGATTAGTGATTGCAGAAAGGATATGAATCAGCAGCTGAATGAATGTATTAAGGAAGACAAAGCAGGATATGAAGGAGGAGCCCAACAAAAGGAGACTCCGAAGAAGAACAAAACAGAAATCCTGGAAATAAAAACAGATTGAGACAAGTAAAAACTCAGTGGAAATTCTCACCAATAGACATGACCACACAGAAGACAGAATCTGAGGACTTGAAAACAAAGTTGAGGAATTCACATATACAGATGCTAAGAAAAAAGAGAAATTATCAATAAAATATCCAAGAACTCTGGAACACAGTCAATAGCCAAACTTGAGAAATATTGGTGTAGAAGAGGGCACTGAGCTAGAAAGAGTAGCAGCATAGAAACTATAATAAAATAATAAGAAATTTCCCAAATCTTGGGAAAGATGTAGATATCCATGTACAGGAAGCATTTAGAAACTCAAACAGAGATGGCCAGAAAGGAACCTCCACATATCATACTATAGTTAAAATGGCAAGAGTACAGAACACAGAGAGACCAAGGAAAGATGTAAGAGAGGAATGCCAAGTCACTTACACAGGAAAACCCATCAGAATAACTCCAGATTTTTCTGCAGAAACTTGCAAAGACAGGAGGGCATGGAATGATGTATTTCAAACTCTGAAAGAAAATAACTAATCAATCTAGATTACTTTATCCAGCAAAGCTATCTTTTAAAATTGAAAGAGAAATAGACCTTACAAGTTTAAGCATAAAAAAAAATTCCTGTCCATTAAGTCAGCATTGCAGAAGATACCTAAAGAAATTCTACACACAGAACAGGAAAAGTAGATACAATATTAAGAAATAGCCAAGCATGGTAGCAAATGCCTGTCATCCCAGCACTCAAGTTCAAGGCTAGACTGGGCTACATGGTGAGTTCAAGGCTAGCTTGAACTAAATACTAGTAAGACTTTGTCTCAAAAATGAAAGAGAGAGGGAGAGAGAGAGAGAGAGGGATGGATTAGGAAAGAATTAAATAGACCTTAATGTAATAACTCTGAATGTAAATAACAATTCTTTAACTAAAAGACACATACTGGCAGATTAGATTAAAAAACAAGACCCAACTCTTTGTTGCTTGCAAGAGGCATGCCTTACTAATAAAGACAGACTCAAAATCTCAAAGGACAGAAAACAATATTCCATGCAAACAGAACCCAACAGCAAGCAGCAGTATATATACTCATATCTGACAAAGGATGATTAGTCAGATAAGACAAACAAAGTCACTACATAATGGTAAAAGGAAGAATTCCCCAAGAAGATACAGCACAGGTAAATATAAGTGTACTAAGCACCAGTACCCTGAGTACATAAAATGAATACTCCTCAACATAATGGGACACATTGGTCTCTACACAGTAAGAGTGGACAACGTCAGCACTGTACTCTCACCAGTCCATGGGCCATCCAAACAAAAATCAACAAAGAAATGTGAGAGAGCCCTGAGTACATAAAATGAATACTCCTCAACATAATGGGACACATTGGTCTCTACACAGTAAGAGTGGACAACATCAGCACTGTACTCTCACCAGTCCATGGGCCATCCAAACAAAAATCAACAAAGAAATGTGAGAGTTAGACTGGAGCACAGATCAAATCCACTTCACAGATATCTACAGAACAGTCCATCCAATAGCCAAAGAGTACACATTCTTCTCAGCCGCCATTTGAGGCAAAGAAAGCTCGTGGAATGTTCTTCAAAACATATTTTAAGCCATGAAGATCATATTTTAAGCCATGAAGCAAGCCTTAACAAATACAAAACACTGAAATGATTTGTTGCACTTTTCAGAACTTAATAGAATGAAACTAAATATTAAAGATAAGACAAAAATACAGAAACTCTACATATATAGAGATTGAGCAATTCACTTGGGGAAAAATTGAAAAATTCCTAGAATCAAATGGAAATACTACAAACCATAATCTCAGGATACACATAGAAACTTTAAAGAGGAAAGTTTATAGTTATGAGTCTCGATATCAAATACCCAGAAAAGTCTCAAATAAATATCCTAATTATGCATCTCAAGATCTTAGGAAACCAGAACAAATCAAAACAAACACAATAGAAGAAAAAAATATAAATAAGCTGAAATT